TGGACCCGTTTGCTTCGTCACGTTAGCGTAGCTCTTCTGGACCAGAAGCTTTTTGTTCTGGACACATGATATGCCAGTGTGCGCTTGCTCGTGACAGTGGCGACAGGATTGAAGCTGTCCCTTGTAAACGACGACAAGCGCTCGTTCGCCGTCGATGGTGACCCACGAGTCAATATTTTTCTTCACGAGCATTCGAGCAGACCATATGCCGAGCGAAATACCACCGAAATCGTAGCCTTCACCCCACATTAGCTCGCGAATCGATAGCACCTCACCGAACGCGCTCAGGAACTCTACCACTTTCTCTTCGGACACGTCTTCGGGCAGGTCATGCACCTTCACTTCCACACTACCATCCTCCATGGTAATACGAAGCTTGTGCTTCTTTCCGTCCAGTTCAACTTCGTGCTTCTCGTCATGATTGTCAACGATTTTTTGTGCTAACGCCAGGTCATTGACCTTGACGAAAGCACATGCTCCACCGCGGTGGCACTGTAGTCTCTGCACGTCTTCTTTCTTCAGGCCGAGCACTGAACGGCAGAAGCCGTGCACTTTCTCGAACGACGGCTTCACGGGGAAACTCGAATAGTCAATCTTGAAAGTGTTTTCACGCCTCATCGCGGACACTGCACACGCGACGCGGCACGATACGGATAGCAAAGCTAAAAAATATCTTCAACGGCTTGACTATTGAAATAGCGCTAAAACGACAAGAAAAACACGTCCGCGCGTCTCAGAAGCTGAGCGATAACTAGTTTTATTCACAACAATCCAATGCCTACGAGATTGTGCCGAAGATGTGCCGAAGTTATGCCAAAGGTGAGCCGATGGATGTGCCGAATCTAATTTCGGCACAATGTGCTGAGTGATTTACCCCTTGGGAACGACTCGTATTACTACGCAAATGCGGGATAGTGGACTATGCCGAGAAAAAGCGGATAAAAGACGAACAGGAGGCCAAGCGGGTGGCACTGCTGAAGGAAAAATAATAGGAAGATGCAAGGGAGTTGAGGGCACGGCTGCAAGCGGATGCTAAGCTCAAGTCGCCTCCCAGGAAGAGTAAGAGGAACTCATAAACATAGCCCTTCATTAATATGTATTATTATTAAAAAAAATACTGGTTTTCGGCTCCGTGGAGCCCTTTGGACATTTGAGCCTAACAAATCAACTAATTGAAAAAAATGATTAATAAACGGATTTTTCAAAATCCTTTATTGATCGGTTCTGTTTATTTTAGAAGAGGAGGACGACAACCACCAAAATGCACATTGGCTCACATTACGTGACCACATAGAATCGGTTCCGGACGATGTAAAGCAGTATTTGTTAGCCAACAAATTCAACCGGCTTGTGATTTTGGCTACATAACTGAATAGCATGTCGATACTGGCTCACCGAACGACATAAGATTTTGTTTTTTTTTTCGATATCTAATAAAGCGGATCTGCTGTCTATGCTTTTCTAGAAGCCAGAGTTATAAAAATTTGAACATTTTAACAACAAAACTCGAGTTTATTTTAGAGCTTCGAAAATGTAGAGCCCTGTACAGCACACGGACCTCATTTTCAGGAACACCTTCAGCCTAGCCTTCAGCACACCTCGTAGATCAGACCGGAGAGACGTTTGACACCACCACGGCGAGCCAGACGACGCGGTACGTTAGAAGCGTTAGGTTCCTATAGTTGTGTATGGAGACTCCATACACAACTATAGGAACCTAACGCTTGTAACGTACCGCAACTATAGGAGCGTTTACCCTACGCAATTCCATCCTCCCTATTAACACGCGCCCGAGGATCGCAGACGAATGCCACTTCGACTTGTTTCGTCTACTTACTGCTATCTGACGACAGTGCTGGGGAAGCAGCATATGCATGTAGGTAATTGGTGGATTTGTTAGTTAATTCGACGCTTTTGGACAATGCTGTACATTTACCAGTTTTTCATCGATGCGTAGCCATATTTCTGATCGATCGGTGATAAAATTATTGAAATTGGACCAGGGGCAGCTGAGTTATTAGCGTTCAAAATCTTTCTTAATTTGTTACATGTTCCATTTTCGGTTTTCACAAAGTGTACCCCCATATAGAAATGAAAGACGTAGTCCTACGTCAAAATAAAATGGCATTTTCTGTAACAATAATTCAATGCTTTTTTGTTCAAATTCAAGTTTAAAATATGATATTTTTACTACCAGCATAGGAGTAGGCTGTGCGTGTGTTCGAACCTGACGTTTGTTTTTTCCGTGGAGTTTTTTTTATCTATAATTGGTTGCTGATCTAGCCATAACTAGGCCCAGGAGACAATTTCTAGTTCATCATTCTAGGTCCCTATTATTTGCCGCTGAGAAGCTGTTCCGAAGCCAAGTAGAATCTCCACGAGACGTACCATCAATCGTCCCATCATTCGTTGAGTAGCAGCGTTGAACCTGACTATTGGCCACGAAAAGGCTTGCCAATGCACATCAAAAATTGACTACATACATCCGAACATTTGCTTATCTCAAATCGAAGGAAGACATTCCGCGCAACTACCATAAACCGGACTAGTTCATATTGAGCTTCGTCAAGCTTCGTCTACAATATGGACTTCTACATCGACACATGTCAAGCAGTCTTCATGTTCAATTGGCTAAACATGGTGAGTTCGTTCTATTTTGTAAATTTGTATCTTTTCAAACCAGTAACGCTCTGGGAGATCCCCTTTTTGTGGTGCGTTACTGGTATAAGATCTACCACCGAACCCTAGTCGTGACAATTTCAAACTTCAGGATTTTCCAGTAATCAGATCACATTTTAGTCCTTGTTACTTTTTATGACTTGATAATAGTGACAAGACTCGGGTAGTGACCACCGCACCGTTATGCATTTCTATATTGTATATTTCAAATAAAAAAATTGTTTATGTTCCTTTTCCCTTTGTCCTTCTCCTTTTCCTTTCCCTCTTCTTTTTCAGAAAGTGAGTAATGACGCTATAGCCATAAGTCATAAAAGACTAGGACAAGAGTTAGTGCTCATTCTCCAACCGCCAGAAGAAAATGGAGCATCACTTAACCTTTCTAGATTTGATGCTTCCAACGACCAACCAATCATATAATTACCAAAATCGGAACGTACGGTACGAGATGTCCACGTTTCATTGATTTATTGGATTCTGAAGCATCTGAAGCATCTTGCCCTTAAATGCTGCACAGTAAGCCTGGCCGTTTTGATATGTTTGACGCATCTTCGATGTGAAACATATATGGGGCTGTTCATTAACTACGTAGACAGTTTTTTATATTATTATTGACCCCCCCCCCCCCTCTCCTACGTAGACAATTGTCCATACAAAAAAAACTAAAATTTGTATGGGCCGTAGATGATTGCAATCCCCCAGCTGTCTACGTAGTTTATGAACAGCTCCTATTAAATAGACAAGAAAAATGATGCAGGTATATATATCATTTTTGAGGATGCTTTCAAGAACCTGGCTGTGTTGGTGTTAGATTAGATTAGATTAAATATTTTTACAGACAGCATAGTGATACGCCGATGCAAAAATGGGTTACGCCGTCACCGTCGATTTTGTTACAATCAGCTTGATCAGCTGTGGTACCTCAAATTGGAATTATTTATGATATCTCGCAATTCAATCAAAAGAAAAACAAATGATGTACAGAATTTTTCTTTCAACTCAAACACGGCAGTCAAGTTAATTTTGTCATCCATCGATTTATTTTTGCACATCAGTCGTTTACACATTTTGCAATCACTTTCCGCTATCACTCGTCCTTTTCTTACTTGTAAGACTTTTCTTATGCCTCTTCCTCTTAGCTACCTTCCTTCAAACCATCGGACACAGATCGTTACTAATCCTTCTCACAACAAAATCCTTTCGAAAAAGAATCATGTATGTGTATGTGCAATTCCTTTCCTATGATATGTGTGTGTATGTGAGCATTGCCGCGGTAGTATAAAGAAATCTTTGCGATTTTTCTTTTTTTTTTTTAATATTTATTTTCTTCCTGACCTAGAATTGAACTCGCATCCAGTTACACAACCGAACAAAAAAAAAAATATAAATGATAAGTACGTATTTTACCTCCCACACAAAGTCCCAAATACAAACAAAGAATGGAGGATTTTCAATTGTTGCAATTTTCATACACAGACAAAAAAGAAAAGCTATTTACAAATCTCTTAGCTCTTTGCTCTTACACGCTAGTTAAATTACTAAACCCTAGGAAAACTTACAGCCTACACGGTAAAAAAAAACAGTATTGTAATCGGACGTCGTCGGGGGGTTGATTTTTTGTCTTTTGTTTCTCTCTTTCCTCGCTTTCTGTTTATTGTGGCGTTTTTCGGCGACCATGCCATAAACCGAAGGCAGTTCAGATCTTCCGTTCTACCTATGGGTGGGGATATATTTTCGTGCCTAAAGGAATATAATGATTGTATTGCGCAATTCTCACCAAACTGCGTTGTCACTAATTGAATAAAAAGTGTGATAAAAGTGACCGTTTAAGTCAAATTGGTGCACTTATTCCTTATGAAGCAAGAAATATGCGTACTGATTTTATCACACTTTTTGCATTTTTGAAGCAGTTTGCAACCAGCAGCAAAAAAAAAAGCTAATCAGTGCTATTGTTTAACTATTTCGGCGTGCCAGTTTTCATCGTGAGTGAGTAGCTTACGTTCTTTTTAGATTCTACTAAAAATTAACGTAAATTACAAATACTGTGAGAAGATATATGATTTACTTAGATGGAAAAAGTTTTTGCAAAAAAAATCATCAAGCAAGTGCAACACGGAAAGAGTCTCGGACGTTTCCTTCGGCTTCTGACTCCGATGATCGCTACTGCAGCCATCTGATAGAGAAAAGCGATTGGATGTTTTTTTTGTCTCTCTGGTCTTCTTTATCGATATCGATGCATCGATGACATCTTGTCTATGTTTGATATTCTTTAAAGCTAATCAACACTTTTCAGAGCTCCTCGTAAGTTCATGTGCTTCTCTATGTTTATAATGGTCTCTTATTTGTAGATGGTCCGAGGCAGAAACAAAAATTCTGCCACCTGGTGGCAATTTACGAAAGCTGATTAACAATCTAATTTTCTTCTATCATCAATTATTGCTTAAACGCGTGCGTCTGTCGTCTTGTAAAATGAGTAAAAATGAACGGAAGTTGACAAATCATAATGAGCTATCATTTTGCCAGAATTGACCCTATATCGGTAATGTCTATTGATTACGTAGCATTTAAGTATAAAAATCATATTGTAAGCGCTGCATTGAAATTCATTTGCGTGTATGAGTGAGCGTATTGCTTTTGGTATACATGAGTTGACGAGTCACATGATGATGATGAGCTGTATCCTTACGGAAACATATTCCACCCTGTGTCGCTTCAGTTGTTCACCGATCCCACGTAGACCCGATGCCGCGTGGCCGAGTAGCTGTCATCGACGGTTTTGCCGACGGCCTGGTAGAAGCTGGAGCTCTTGCCATTGGACGTCTGGAAGCTGGAGGTGACTGACGAGGTGTCGATGTTCTTGTTCGGTTCCGACTCGAGGTTTCCGTTGGCCAAAGCCAGCTTTTCGTCCTTTTCCTTCTTGGGCTGAAAATAAGGATGGACGTTTTGTTAGACATTGTTCATTTTTTAGGGAAATTTAGTTGGATTGGTTTTGGAACAGCTTCTCATGCACTCCCTTTTAATTATTATTTTTTCCTTGCAGGAAAAATGCCACACAGAAAAAATCCTGTTGGAATTCATAGAATCATCCATCATCCATTTGGAAATTTACAAACTTCTTGCTGGAAATTTATAAAATTATTTAAAAACAAGATGGACAACATTCAGACTAAATTTTAAATTCTTCGGTACACACATCAATAATATTTACTTTTTTGACAAAACCCAGGTAATCATGACAGCTAGGTGGCGGGCATTTTTTTTTAACTGCCCGCTTCATCAAAGCAAGCTTGGAACATAATTTTGACAGCTGTAATTAGAAAAACAAATGGCTATGCGCAAGTGGTAAAGTTCAAAATATATGTTGAGATTTAATTTTTAATTTTTCAGATATTGCAGTAGAGATACTCGGCGTTGTTGTGTTACAAAATGTGGATTAGCCAGATTTGATTATGTGCAGCTATTCCAATTCCCCAAGACAGATGGCAGTTTACTGGAGAAATCTCTGTGTAGGGTTTTGAAATGGGTTTAAGCCTTAAAGGATGTTGCCGACCTTGAAAATGGCGTCAAGAATAAATTTGTATGTTGTCGGCATTTTGTGACTGGTATGTACCGATGGTGATATGATCCATGTAATTTTGACAAATATTCTCAACACAAGACTTATCCTTATGACAGGCATATGGCGTAGTTCCATTGGACTCCTTTAATCTAGTACTTCAATTGAGGTACAATATTAAGGAGTACAATGGTACTACTCGGTATGTCGGTACAAGGTAAAACCTAATTTTACACGTGACGGATACTATTTATGACATAAAATTTGAGACGTAAACAAACATGTCATGTAATATTAAGAGCTCCGAGATTGAAAAGTTAGTTGCTCGACGAAAAGTACGTTTGATTGAGCTTAATTTCACGTCTATTATGACTCAAATTTATGCCAAAATTGACGCTCGTATATGTCAGTCTCAGAGCACCTAAATTTACATCAATTTTTCTAAGTGTGTATGATTGATAAATTATGTGGCATTTTAGGGGGTCGGTTCTGCAGAACTTGTGTCCGGCCATGTATTAAGTACAGAAAAATACGCTACGAGTAGGAACAAATTGTCTAGATTTGGTCCAAAAATGCTACGTCATTTATGAATGTTCCCTTGTAACAAAAATTAATTCATGATCTATACTTTGCCACTCTTACTAATGTATGCTTTATAAATAAAAGTAAACCTGCTCTTTTGATTGATGAGAGAAATCCGGACTGGATACCCTAATTGTTTCCAGATTTACAGTATGAGCGAAATTACAGTAAGTATCGAATCACATGCCCTCATAGCAAATAACCTCTTCTTTCTTATATCATTAATAAAGGCCCAAGCGCAATGACAGCGGAAGCGGAACGGCAGCGGCAGCGGAAAAGACCGATCTGAGTAAGCCTACTTGTCGGATTGAAAACTAGTTAGAACCATGTAGACATCGGTTAGGCTTCTTGATGTCATTTGTGACAACTGTCAAACTTTTCGTTTCCGTTCCGCTTCCGTCCACATTGCGTTTGGGTCTTAAGACTAGGCTTTGCCTATCAAAACCCTTGTCAGTAATACCGACATACAGCAATGCTCCAAACCGGTCTAACACGAACTTTCTCAAATATGAATGCCTTCCCTAAAAGCAACATAATTGTTGATGCTTTTTTGATTGTTAGTTGAGGTTACTGCGAAAAAGAGACGATAATCTATTGAGCTACAGCAATCTTCGAACGAGCCTGAAGTGGAAGAAGAATTTGAACGAAATCTTGGCAATAATGAAATTGACAAAAGTTGAAATTGAATTTGTTTATGTCAGATGTAGTCAAACTGCTGTTCAAAGCTTGCTTTGATGAAGCGGGCAATTAAAAAAATGCCCGCCACCTAGCTGTCATGATATCCTGAGTTTTGTCAAAAAAGTAAATATTATTGATGTCTCGTTAAGAGTTTTTCGGAACAGTCCGGACGTTTAAAACACTTAACTGTTTGGCAATTTCTTAAATTTTTGTCCAGAACTTTCTTAATTTTCTTCAGAAGTGCTCAAAATTTTCATTATATATTTACCTTTCCCTTCAGGAATATTCCAAATTTTAATTAAGATCTATTGTTCTACTACAAACTAAATCTACTCTAGTAGGTTTCCATTCAGAAATCAATGTCGTATTGCTATTTATCCGTCAAAAAACATTGCATTTTGTTTTAAAACATCATCACTTCTGTAATTGTGGAGCTGAAAATTAGGTATTTTAAATCGGTTTCTGATCATCTTCCCAAAATTCGAACTGCGAAAAATTCCCGTCAGGAATTTTCCTAATTCCCGTCAGGAATTTTCCAAATTCCCGTCAAGAATTTTCTTAATTCCCGCCAGGAATTTTCCAAATTCCCGTCAGAAATTTTTCAAATTCCCGTCAGAAATTTTTTAAATTCCCGTCAGGAAATTTCCAAATCTCCGTAAGGAATTATCCAAATTCCCGTCAGGAATTTTCGAATTCCCGTCTGGAATTTTCCAAATTCCCTTTAGGAATTTTTCAAATTCCCGTCAGTAAGTTGCGAATTCCCGTCAGAATTTTTCCAAATTCCCGTCAGGAATTTTCCAAATTCTAGTCAGGAATTTTCCAAATTCCCATCAGGAATTTTTCAAATTCCCGTCAGGAGTTTTCCAAATTTAAGTCAGGAATTTTCCAACTTCCGGTCAGTAATTTTCCATTTTTCCGTCAGGAGTTTTTCAAATTCCCTTCAGGAATTTCCTAAATTCTCGTCAGGAATTTTCCAAATTCCCGTCTGGAATTTTCCAAATTCCCGTCAAAATTTTTCCAAATTTTCGTCAGGAATTTTTCATATTCCCGTTAGAAATTTTCAAAATTCCCGTCAGGAATTTTCTAAATTCCCGTTAGGAATTTTCTAAAATCCCGTCAGTAATTTTCCAAATTCCCGTCAGAAATTTTCCAAATTCCCGGCAGCAATTTTCATATTCCCGTCAGGAATTTTCACAATTCAAGTCAGGCATTTTCCCAAGTCAAGTCAGGAATTTTTCAAATTTCCGTCAGAATTTTTTTTTAACTCCCGTCAAGAACTTTACAAATTTCAGCCAGGAATTTTCCAACTTCTCATCAGGAATTTTCCAACTTCCCATCAGGAATTTTCCAAATTTCCGTCAGGAAGTTACCAAATTCCCGTCAGGAAATTTCCAATTTTCTGTCAGGAATTTTCCAAATTCCCGTCAGGAATTTTCCAAATTTCCGTCAGGAATTTTCCAAATTCCCGTCAGGAATTTTCCAAACTCCCGTCAGGAATTTTCCAAATTCCCGTCAGGAATGTTCCAAATTCCCGTCAGGAATTTTCCAAATTCCCATCACGAATTTTCCAAATTCCCGTCAGAAATTTTCCAAATTCCCGTCAGAAATTTTCCAAATTCCCGTTAGGAATTTTCTAAATTCTCGTTAGGAATTTTCCAAATTCCCGTCAGGAATCTTCCAAATTCCAGTCAGGCATTTTCAAAATTCCGGTCAGAAATTTTCTAAATTCCTGTCATGAATTTTCCAAACTGCCGTCAGAAATTTTCCAAATTTCCGTAAGGAATTTTCCAAATTCCCGTCAGGAATTTTTCAAAGTCCCGTCAGGAATTTTCCAAATTCCCGTCAGGAATTTTCCAAATTCCCGTCAGGAATTTTCCAAATTCCCGTCAGGAATTTTCCAAATTCCCGTCAGAAATTTTCCAAATTCCCGTCAGTAATTTTCCAAATTCATGTCAGGAATTTTCCAAATTCCCGTCAGAAATTTTCCAAATTCCCGTCAGAAATTTTCCAAATTCCCGTCAGGAATTTTCCAAATTTCCGTCAGGAATTTCCCATATTCTATTCAGGAATTTTCCAAATTCTAGTCAGGAATTTTCCAAATTCTCGTCAGGAATTGTGCATTTTTCCGTCAGGAATTGTGCATTTTTCCGTCAGGAAAATTCCAAATCCGAGTCAGGAATTTTCCAAATTCCCGTAAGGAATTTTCCAAATTCCCGTAAGGAATTTCCCAAATTCCCGTGAGGAATTTTCCAAATTACCTTCAGGAATTTTCCAAATTCCCGTCAATTTTTTTCCAAATTCCCGTCAGGAATTTTTCTAATACCCGCCAAGAATTTTTCAAATTCCCGTCAGGGATTTTCCAAATTCCCGTCAGGAATTTCCCAAATTCCCGTCAGGAATTTTCCAAATTCTTGTCAGGAATTGTGCATTTTTCCGTCAGGAATTGTGCATTTTTCCGTCAGGAAAATTCCAAATTCGAGTCAGGAATTTTCCAAATTCCCGTCAGGAATTTTCCAAATGCCCGTCAGGAATTTTCCAAATTCCCGTCAGGAATTTTCCAAATTTCCGTCAGGAATTTCCCATATTCTATTCAGGAATTTTCCAAATTCTAGTCAGGAATTTTCCAAATTCTCGTCAGGAATTGTGCATTTTTCCGTCAGGAATTGTGCATTTTTCCGTCAGGAATTTTCCAAATTCCCGTCAGGAATTTTCCAAATTCCCGTCAGGAATTTTCCAAATTCAAGTCAGGAATTTTCCAAATTCCCGTCAGGAATTTTCCAAATTCCCGTCAGGAATTTTCCAAATTCCCTTCAGGAATTTTCCAAATTCCCGTCAGCAATTTTCCAAATTTCCGTCTGGAGATTTCCAAATTCCCGCCAGAAATTTTCAAAATTCCCGTCAGGAATTTTCCAAATTCATGTCAGGAATTTTCCAAATTCCCGTCAGAAATTTTCCAAATTCCCGTTAGGAATTTTCTAAATTCTCGTTAGGAATTTTCCAAATTCCCGTCAGGAATCTTCCAAATTCCAGTCAGGCATTTTCAAAATTCCGGTCAGAAATTTTCTAAATTCCTGTCATGAATTTTCCAAACTGCCGTCAGAAATTTTCCAAATTTCCGTAAGGAATTTTCCAAATTCCCGTCAGGAATTTTTCAAAGTCCCGTCAGGAATTTTCCAAATTCCCGTCAGGAATTTTCCAAATTCCCGTCAGGAATTTTCCAAATTCCCGTCAGGAATTTTCCAAATTCCCGTCAGAAATTTTCCAAATTCCCGTCAGGAATTTTCCAAATTCATGTCAGGAATTTTCCAAATTCCCGTCAGAAATTTTCCAAATTCCCGTCAGAAATTTTCCAAATTCCCGTCAGGAATTTTCCAAATTTCCGTCAGGAATTTCCCATATTCTATTCAGGAATTTTCCAAATTCTAGTCAGGAATTTTCCAAATTCTCGTCAGGAATTGTGCATTTTTCCGTCAGGAATTGTGCATTTTTCCGTCAGGAAAATTCCAAATCCGAGTCAGGAATTTTCCAAATTCCCGTAAGGAATTTTCCAAATTCCCGTAAGGAATTTCCCAAATTCCCGTGAGGAATTTTCCAAATTACCTTCAGGAATTTTCCAAATTCCCGTCAATTTTTTTCCAAATTCCCGTCAGGAATTTTTCTAATACCCGCCAAGAATTTTTCAAATTCCCGTCAGGGATTTTCCAAATTCCCGTCAGGAATTTCCCAAATTCCCGTCAGGAATTTTCCAAATTCTCGTCAGGAATTGTGCATTTTTCCGTCAGGAATTGTGCATTTTTCCGTCAGGAAAATTCCAAATTCGAGTCAGGAATTTTCCAAATTCCCGTCAGGAATTTTCCAAATGCCCGTCAGGAATTTTCCAAATTCCCGTCAGGAATTTTCCAAATTTCCGTCAGGAATTTCCCATATTCTATTCAGGAATTTTCCAAATTCTAGTCAGGAATTTTCCAAATTCTCGTCAGGAATTGTGCATTTTTCCGTCAGGAATTGTGCATTTTTCCGTCAGGAATTTTCCAAATTCCCGTCAGGAATTTTCCAAATTCCCGTCAGGAATTTTCCAAATTCAAGTCAGGAATTTTCCAAATTCCCGTCAGGAATTTTCCAAATTCCCGTCAGGAATTTTCCAAATTCCCTTCAGGAATTTTCCAAATTCCCGTCAGCAATTTTCCAAATTTCCGTCTGGAGATTTCCAAATTCCCGCCAGAAATTTTCAAAATTCCCGTCAGGAATTTTCGAAATTCCCGTCAGGAATTTTCGAAATTCCCGTCAGGAATTTTCCAAATTCCCGTCAGGAAATTTTCAAATCCCCGTCAGGAAATTTCCAATTTCCCACCAGGAAATTTCCAAACCCCTATAAGGAATTTTTTAAATTCCCGTCAGGAATTTTCCGAATTCCCGTCTGGAATTTTTCAAATTCCCGTCAGTAAGTTGCGAAATTCTCGTCAGATTTTTTCCAAAATCCCGTCAGGAATTTTCCAAATTCAAGTCATAAGTTTTCCAAATTCAAGTCAGGAATGTTTCCCCGTCAGGAATTTTCCAAATTCCCGTCAGGAATTTTCCAAATTCCCGTCAGGAATTTCCCAAATTTCCGACAGGAATTCCCCAAATTCCCGTCAGCAATTTTCCAAATTCCCGTCAGGAATTTTCCAAATTCTCATCTTGAAGATGCCAAATGCCCGTCAGGCAATTTCCTAAATCCCGTCAGGAATTTTCCAAATTTCCATCAAGAATTTTCCAAACTCAAGTCAGGAATTTTCCAAATTCCGGTCAGGAATTTTCCATTTTATCGTCAGGAATTTCCTAAATTCCCATCAGGAATTTTTCCAAATTCCTGTCAGGAGTTTTCCAAATTTCCGTCAGGAATTTTCAAAATTCTCGTCAGGCATTTTTAAAGTTCCCGTCAGGAATTTCAAAACTCCGGCCAGGAATTTTCCAAATTCCCTTCAGGAATTTTTCAAATTCCCGTCAAGAATTTTCCAAATTCCCGTCAAGAATTTTCCAAATTCCCGTCAGAAATTTTCCAAATTTTCATCAGGAATCTGCCCACAAATCACCATAAATATTTTATATAAAGCTCTGTAGGAGTTTTATATATTCGTTCCAGGTATTATCCCAATCTTTCACACGGCCGATGAGAGTAACTCAAAATTCTAAGTCGATTCAAAATTGCAAAAAGAGTGAGTTAGTAATTCCTCTCTCGATTTTTCACAAGAATCGGAATTACTTTAGGAATTTCCCAAAATTGGAGAAATCTCCAAATTTTCTACAGGATGCTCGCAATTCCCTTCTGAAATCTCCCAAATTTCGGTCAAGAAGTTACTAAATTCCCTTCATGATTTTACTTAATTACCTTAAAAAGTTTATGATTTTCTTTCAACTGGAATTAACCAGGTTTAAAAAATCCATAGCATGTCCAACAGAAGTTCAGTTGATGTTCCAAAAATCCCCCGTTTAAACAACCTACCTTTCGCTGTGCGTAGGCCCGCTTGTAGAAGCTGGAGAACAGGAAGTAGAACATCAGAGCGTGGGCGCCAATGAAGTAAGCGAAGGCGATTGGGTAGTTGCATGGGTTCCAGACCAGCAGCTGGAAGGCGTGCAGCATCACCAGAACGAATTGGATCTGAAAGAATAACAATATCATTACATCAACGATCGATTTCAACCATCACAGATTCGATCAAACCACTCACCATTTGGAGAACGGTCAGGTACTTCTTCCACCAGAGGTACTTCTGAACCTTTGGTCCCATGGCAGCCAGCATGTAGTAAGCGTACATGGCGATGTGTACGAACGTGTTCAGCAAACCGAAGAACGAACTGTGGCCACCTGTTTAAGTAGACAAGTCGGAAAGAAAAATTAAGACCCAGGCTAATCAATCCAACATGCAATGGTTGAGATCAATTTTGCAAAGATTTTGACCTCGATCGTACAGAGCTAGCTTGTTGCTACATGTCGTATATTTGCATAACCTAATGCCTAATGTCACATTTTAATACGACGTGATGACCTACACAGCCGATTGAGTCGCGATAATTTATGACCCATCTGAAGAGAGGGTCAAGCAAGTGTAGGCAGCTAACTTCCACACCCAACCCAAATCACTCCCACTCGGCTTGCGACTTGATGATCTTTCTGATGATGACGATGATTATCACCATCATCCATCACATATGTATGTGACATTCAAGATTGCATACAAGAAAAGTTGCAGCTTACCTGGGGTGAATTTAACTCCCCACCAGACGGAAACCGGCATGATACCGTGGTGAATAACATGCAGCGTCGAAACCTGATCGTAGCGCTTACGCATCACGAAGAAGAACGTATCGAAGAATTCCGTAAATTTCGAGAAGAAGTACCACCAGCAGCCATTTGCCATCTACAAATTAAAACGGAAATCAAATTAGATTTTATCAATGCTATAGGAAGCAGAAATCAAGCTAGACAGGTACTAACCCGCAGTCCATTCGTAGATCGGGAGTAGTCGACCGGTTGACAGCGGAGACTATATCCGGCTAGCCAACCTGCTGCCAATGCCTGTAAATAAAGAGGGGGAAGTAAGATGATAAGATCACCATGTTGATTGTTGAAAATGCACAGAAACCGGTTGGTGGTGTCCATGAGCCAAGGGCGCCAGCGAAAATAGCGACAGGCACGCACAACCATAACCTACCTCATAGCAGAGCCAGATGCTAAAGACGACCTGGATTGCATTGTAGACGATCAGCACTTTGCGCAGCTCGAATGGCTTTCGGTTTTCCATAAACCGGGGACCAAGGACCTGTTTTTGAGTTGGATGAATAAAGGAAAAAAAGAAAGGTAATTAGGGTGGAGAACGGCTTTGGTCCCACCGAGACCGAGACATGGGGTAAACAAAAGCTTACAACGTTCATTTTTTTGCGGTATAATGCTTCACATGAAGGAGCACCTTTTGGTAAGATTTCTGATTAATTGTCTTCTTTCTGCATTATTTTTCTTCTGCACCCTATGGCAGGCGTTGTCACTGATGATTTCATGAAAAGATGGTATGGAGGATGAGATGGATAGCTCAAGGCCAATCAGTTATTAAAGCATGGACAACTGAAAAGATTGCCGTCAGTGCAGAGCAAAAAAAAGCATCCTGAGTCAGATTATTTTGGTTATAGAGGAACTCTAAGACTAGTAGCACAGAGGTAACTCTAATGTGGACCGTACACGTTTGCTTTTATTGACAATAATCGTATTGTCAATACATTCCATATTGACGTCAATACATCGGTATTGACAATACTTCTGTATTCACATCATCAATAATAATGTCAATAATTCCCTTTCGCGTCAATATATTGATACGTGTGGGGTTTGCTTAAGACTAGAAGGTCCCGAAATAACGTGCTCAATTTTTTGGTTCAGCTCTGGTACTCTCTTCGGTCCCAAGCTAATCGATTCACCCCTCGAAAATCCACTAACCCCTCAATTGAAAGTTTGACAGATAAAATGAGGGGTTAGTGGATTTTCGAGGGGTAAATCGATTAGCTTGGGACCGAAGAGAGTACCAGAGCTGAACGAATCAAAACAAACATTGTATAGTAGTAGAATTTCGACTAAAATGGGGTCCGTTAATCGATTTGCTTGGGACCAATAGGCTAGTCAAGTAGTGAGCCAATTTTAAATCGTTAGCTTCGTATTGATTGTTGACCGTTTTTTGGAGGCGAACCAGCCCAAGGCTGAAAGCCTCCCTAACAGGGTGCCTTCCATTCATTTTGACTAAAAAAATGTTTTAAGAAATTATGGAATAATAAGATATTATGAAAATATTTTGATTATGTAAACAACATGAAAAGATTGTTAAGTTTGTGTTTGACACATAATACCTGCCACTTTTGCTACATGAGAGACGCAATAAGCGATTTTGTAATTTATCTCACCCACTCTTCGCTCTTCACTCTTCGCGAAGAGGCGCTCAGAAAAACGCTCATTGTGACTCTGTCAAAGCTAAATTTGCAGGTTTGATGGGTGAAACACAAACTTTACAATCTTTTCTTAATACTTACATATACAAAATATCATCATAATATCTTATTATTCCATAATTTCATAAAACATTGTTTTAGTCAAAATGAATGGAAGGCACCCTGCTCCCTAATAAAGATAAATTAGTTAATTAATTGTTGACCGTACTGTTAATAGCAAGCAAAATCAAACAATTCTAAAATTTAAGAATAGTTATATTAACGATAAACTTGATGAACTCATATTGAAATTTGACAGCAGGAATCGAACATCTTTCACTTAAAACAAGTCGAGCGGCCAAAGATTTTTGGCCATTCGAGCTTTGAACTAAAACATTATTTTGAGATTTTTTTCTTCTGGAATCACGAGAAAAGTAGCCAACATTTGTTCGATTCATAAAAAAATATAAATTAGTTGGTCCAGTTTTGTGAAATTGCTGGTAGAAAGTCACGTTAAAACTGCTTGACAAAGTGGTCAATTCAGAGAAAAATTAGTATTTGGCGTCAGATTTGACAATCGTCACTGACAGTCAATGCCAATGAAACTTTGAAGTACTGAACAAAAACTATTAGCAGAAGGCTATGTTCTCATAACAACGCGAAAAGCATCACAAAACATCAATAAAACTATTGAAAGTTCGGAATGAATATCGTAGATAAATGAAGTTTGTGTGCGGATTTATATCGACCGGTAGAAACTAACGATTTTAAATTGGCTCACTTCTTGACTAGCCTATTGGTCCCAAGCAAATCGATTAACGTAACCCATTCTAGTCAAAATTCCAGTACTACACAATGTTTGTTTTGATTCGCTATGAAGGTTTGATAGATAAAATGAGGGGTTCGTGTATGTTCCTATGTTTCGAGGGGTGCATCGATTAGCTTGGGACCGAAGATAGTACCAGAGCTGAGCCAAAAAGTTGAGCACGTTTCTTAGGGACTATCTGGTCTTAGAGTTACCTCTATGGTTGTACTCTTCTACTTTGTTCATCATCGACGATAGTAGCAATATCCTTGATCAATTCTTATTTGTTCCAGTAAATTCGATGACAATCATATAATTTTGTTCCACAAATCATATGTTTAAGCTGTTGGCTCTGTACTGCTAAAATACATACGCTACACTAAATAAAAAAGTTCTATAAACCGATTATGTATTGTGCATTAGGGTGTTTCATTTTGAAAAAAGTGATGAATTTTTGATAGGCCACCCTCCAGTTCGATTCATAGCCCCAAAATATGAACCTGTGCAAAAAATGGTAAAGATTGATGAAGGTTTAGAGGTCGCGCCAATGATTTGGATTTTGTATGGAGATTTTGGTGAATTAGTATGGGAAATTATTGATTTTCGTTTACATTGCTCTAACTTTGGTTGTAGTTGTCCAAACGTTGAAAAAAAAAAAATATGTGGTTGTCATGACAATGATCAACAAGCCTGTTGTTGTTGCGATGAAATTGGCGTTGTTGCCTTGTACATATTCATCTGTCAATTTACCCTATTTTGCCATTTTTTCACATTTTTATAATTCTTGATACGCTGCAAAACTGAGCGTAGCAACTGTAGGCTTTTTGTTTATTGCCATAGCAATAACATACTAAATTTTTTCGACATTTGGACAAGTAGAAGCAAAGTTATAGCGATATAAGCGATTTTTTAAATTCTTCCATAGTAATTCCCATACAAATTTCAAATCATTGGCGCGACCTCTAAACCTTCATCAATCTTTACCAATTTTTGCACAGGTTCATATTTTGGGGCTATGAATCGAACTGGAGGGTGGCCCATCAGAAATTCATCACTTTTTTCAGAATGAAGCACCCTATTGTGCATTCTAGTAATCCAATATACAGAGAGAAGCGGAAATATAAACAGACGAATTGGCAACGTGATTTGTTTTGTTTACTTAAATTTCAAATAACATTTATGGAATATAAAATGCATTGACATGTTTTGCCCAAATCGCGGTCGTGGAAGTGCAACGAAGTTTAACAAAGTGAGAATTTTCCGGTTTCCGAAAAACGCTGAACTTCGAAAATGGCTGGGGTTTTGCGGACTACCGTCGGATTTTCCTCAAGTGGATTCTATGCGTTTGTGCAGTGTATGGTACAATGATAATTATTTGGAGGTATCTAGTTAAAATACACTGCTTCGAGCACACGCAATTGTATTTAGTTAAAGAAGGTAGGAAACTTCTGAAGCTGCCTGGAGCGATCCCGGTTCATCAGCACCAAATGCATGTTGTGCGGAAACCATTCCGTGATTTGACATCGCAATGCTTTTGACCAACAATATCAAAAACTCTTTTTACTTCTATTTTTATTTTCTGTTTGAACAATACTTTTCAACTGAAGCATTCAGGCAAACGATACCCAACAAACAATTTGAGTTGATTAATAGTTAAATAAGCTATTTTTTAGCTGAAGAAGCACATTTTTGCCTTAATAAGCTCTTATTCAGCTTTCAATGTTTGTTGGGTAAACATGCTCGTTTGGCTCACATTTTGACAGTTCTCGCTGCTCGATTGGCTCAAAATGGCCGCTTCTGCGAATCTCTATATATAGGATTACTAGTGCATACTACCATAGAGGTAACTCTAAGACCACTGGGTCCTGGACCACGGTAGATGAATATACGCGTACTTCCAGACACAGTAGAACATTAACGGACACTGATTTGAAAATAACCTTAGTAATTATTGTATTATATAATATCAATAATAACAATTGCTTAGTAAAATTTAAGTCCTGGAAGAAATATTCAAAACAGACTTTTCGATTCTGTGTAAATATTTTAGTTTTGCTTTTGAGTATTGACAATTATGCTTGTTTATGTCGTGTCCGCTTTAGTGCTTTTTTCCTTCTTCAATATAATTTTAGTTCAATGTAAAACACGCTAGCTTCGTTTCGGATTGGCTTTGACTCACCCATGGATAATCGTTAAACTTGAAAGATGCAGTGGTGCAGCCACTGAAACGAATGGAATCGTACCAACTAATGTTGAACAGATTGGTTTCATTTTAGGTTCGTCTATGAATATTAATGCGATGAAAATGCAAGCTATTCTGCTTTGATTTTTCTTTAAATAGATTTGTATAGCCTTGACAAGTTGAAAACGAACCCCAGCTGCTTGCTGGGGAGTCCGATCTACCATGACGGTGGGTTATTCCGCGTCCTTGACAATCAATTTGATATTGTTCGTGCTACTATCAAAAACTTACAGCCCTTTGTAGGTTATAAAAGACAAAACAAAAATTAATTGATAGATGAACGCGCCATTGGGACGGTACTAATGGATATTTTTGGTCGCTATTGAAAATATAGTCGATTGCTGAATGTATGTATAGGCCCAAATTAGGGGCTTTGAGGCCGACATTACATCCATTTCCCCTATATACGCTCGCATGCAAAAGAACTATGTCCATGTAGAAAGCATTACGGATGATCTGTAAATGGTAAGGAAAGGTTGTTCCTCTAATAAAAAATAACCATAAACGAACGATAACCTAAATCATTGAACTATTCCACAAATGGTTTGGATGATACCCAGAACACGTCGTTAAGCAAATTAACCATACAATTTTTATTAGGGTCATTACACAAGGCAGTAAGGATACCCTTGAAACAAGTACCGATGCTCAATAATTTGATCATATTTCAATTCATCGTCCTGAACTATTGTCTTTGGTGGTAACACCCAAAATTATGCAGCATTCCATATAAAATAGCTGCTGCATGTTTTCATTCTGTGATTGACTGGTTCATTAAAATTATTAAATTATTGGCGATTTAC